CAGGATGCTCAACCATTCTGCATTTTGAGTCCCATGCCCCTTTTAAAAATTGAATCACCATGAGATAAAACATTACAAAGCTGTTCATGATTGGATTTCCGTCAGTCTTCCAACACCCATCCCTCCACCAGTGTACATTTCCCAGCACCTATGTCCCCAGTTTCCCTCCCACCCCACCCCCAATTCCCCTGCCCCCACTGCAGCCTGCCTCTATGACAGGCACCTCTTCTCTCTTATTTTTTTTTTAATATTTATTAGTGAAACACAATGAGGTACAGTTGTAGACTTACAAATTTTTGTGCTTGGGTTTCAGTTATACAATGATCGAGTACCCATCCCTCTGCCAGTGCCCATTCTCCACCACCAATGATCCCAGTATCCCTCCCACCCTCCATCTCCCCCATCCCACCCTGCCCCTGTGGCAGGGCATTTCATTTGTTCTCTCTCCTTTTGGGTGCTGAGGTTTGCAAAAGAGGCATTGAGTGGCAATCATGTTCGGTCTATAGTCTACTTTCAGCATGCTTCTCCCATCCTGGGAGGATCCTCCCAACACCCTTTATTTGGTTCTTCTTTCTCTATCTGAGGTGCCTTTTCCTCCAGTGTGTGCGGCTGGCCTCCAAGCCATGGAGTAAACCTCCTAGTACTCATCTCAGCTATTCTTGGGTGTTAGTCTCCTGTTCTGTTACTATATATTCCCCAGATGAGTGCAGTCTTTCTGTCTGTCCCTCTCTTTCTGACTCATTTCGCTTAACATGAAACTTTCCATGTAGTACCACTTGTCTGTCAATTTCATGACTTCATCTTTTCTAACAGCTGCATAATACTCCATGGTGTAGATGTACCAAAGTTTCTTTAACCAGTCATCTGTTCTCGGGCACTCAGGTTTTTTTTCCAGATTCTAGCTATTGTATTCTAGCTATTTGTCTCTCCTCTCCTCTCTTCTCTTTTTCCCTCTCCTCTCCCCCACCTCTCCCCTCCCCTCTCCTCCTCTCCCCTCAGTCTCTTCCGCTCCCTCCCTCCCTCCCTCCTGTGTTGGGCATTATAGTTTGCAATAGAGATACCCTTTTTGAAAACCAGCTGCCAGAGTTGTTTTACAAATAGAAATTGGGTTCTGTTGGGCCCACAGCATTAGTATAACAGGTTGAACATTTGCCTTGCACACAGCCGACCCTGGTTTGATCCTGGTACCACACTTGGTCCCTCAAGCCCACCAGGAGTGATCCCTGAGCACAGAGCCAGGAGTAAGCCCTGAGCACCACTGGGTGTGACCCCAAAACAAAACCCAGAGACTGTGCTCTGTCATCCCTTTGCTCATCTCCTCCTGTCTCATCTGAAATAAATCTTGTGTCTTTACAATGTCTGAGCAGTCTCTTGGGCCATTTATTTCTGAGTTCAAGTTTGGTCCTTCATCTCATCCACATAAGGTCGCCTTGATTCCTTCTGAGGCTTTGTCTAGTGTTTCGGTGAGCCCAGCTTAGAGGAGCATATGACCCAATGACCTATGCCAGCGTCACAGGCCTCTCAGTCCCTGGCCTACTTTAATTTTCACTATTTTACAGTTTCCCCCCCGGCTGGAGCGATAGCACAGCGGGTAGGGCGTTTGCCTTGCACGTGGCTGACCCGGGTTTGATTCCTCAGTCTCTCTTGGAGTGCCCGGCAAGCTACTGAGAGTATCCCACCCCACACAGCAGAGCCTGGCAAGCTCCCCATGGCGTATTCGATATGCCAAAAATAGTAACACCAAATCTCACAATGGAGACGTTACTGGTACCTGCTCAAGCAAATCGATGAACAACAGAACAACAGGATGACAGTGCTAGTTTCCCCAGATATAGACTTTATTTTGTTTAATTTTCCCAACCAGGAAAATAATCTTGCTTTATTGTTTCTTGTTGTATTCCTGGCTAGAGTGATAGCACAGCGATAGGGCGTTTGCCTTGCACGCGGCCAACCCGGGTTTGATTCCTCCACCCCTCTCGAAGAGCCCCGCAAGCTAACGAGAGTATCTCGCCCACATGGCAAAGCCTCGGGGAGCTTGCCAGACTCTGCCATGCTGGCGGGATACTCTCAGTAGCTTGCTGGGCTCTCTGAGAGGGGAGGAAGTATCGAACCAGAGTTGGCCGCGTGCAAAGAAAAAGAAAAGGGGAGTGGGTTTCTTAAGTCCCAGGAGTACTGCAGTGCACTCTCTCAAGCATTATAAAGTATATACATTAGTGATAAAATATAGCACCACAAAACCCGTTATCTCAACCATTCTTTTTTTGGTTGGTTGGCTGGTTTGGGGGCCATACCTGGTGATGCTCAGGGATTACACTTGGCTCTGCACTCAGAAATTTTCTACACAGACACACACACACACACACACACACACACACACACACACACACACAGAGTCCATGTTTGAAAATTAATGGACATTCTGACACTTGATCCAAACATTCTTGCATATTTTGTATGTTCTGTTCTACCCCTGCCCTTACCCCACAAGTTACCTGTTAATCTCCAGCAGAGATTTACTGCTGCCCCCCACCCCTCCACCCAAGCTCTGCATCAACTTCTGCTGCCACAGGACTGGAGTGAGTGCATAATTATGCACATTCTCCCAGTTTACCGCAGATCTAGTGACTCTCCTTTTAGCTGGGGTGGAGCTGGGGCTTCAGCATTTAGAGGTGCCTGAGGCTTCTGCAAAGTACTTTTTTGGTTTTGGTTTCAGTTTTTGGCCACACCTGGTAGTGTTCAGGTGTTAAGCCTGACTTTGCACTCAGGAATAACCCCTGGCAGTGCTCAGGGGACCATCTGTAATGCTGGAATCAAATTCAGGTTGGCAGCTTGCAAGACAAACATCCTACCCAAACATCTGGTCCCACAGGGCACTTTCAGAGTTACTGCCAATTGGAGGATAGGGGATTGAGAGGGACAGGGAGAAAGGGGTAATATCTTGCTTGGCCTAGAAGAGGGTGAAGAGCAGAAGCAGACTGGATGTGAATCAGCTACCCCAATTGGCCTTGGCTACTAATCCGCTTTGTGAAATAAGGATAAGAATTCCTGAGTCACAGAGATAAAGAGGGAAGAGAGAGAGCACCTGTGACTGTGTTTTGTAAACTCTAAAGAATATCCACATGTAAGGGTTCTTGACTGTCTTGACTGTCTTCTGACTCTCTGTCCCATTTCTGCAGCCTCCTCCTCACAACCTGTCCCCAGGTCAAAGAATGACAAAAAATTCCCGTGAGGTTGACATCAAGGTGGAGTCCCAGGCAGAAACAAATCAACAGGCAAGCTCAGCAAACATGTGCGCGTTCATTCTTTTTTGTAGTAGTGGTTTGAAGTCTGCTTGATGAACCTTGAAACATTTGTTTAAAGTGTGCTCGTGCACTGTTGTGTAGACCTTTTCTGGTGGGCATAATCATCCTTATCTATTCAGGGGAAAAGGTCCAGGTTTTCATGGAAGGAAGGAAGAAACCAAGCTTCAAAAGCTATAACAGCTGTCTACATTATCCAAGCCTTATTTCCTCAACTCTGAAATGGGGGTCACAGCTATCCCAACCCCATGGTTAGGAAGACTCTATAGTGAGATATAGCATATGTGGTATCTGACAAGCAGCTGGAGCCTTGTGCAAGTACCAGGGGCCTGCCTACTTGCACCAGATCCCAAGCTCTCAAGTGTACACCCGGGGATGCTAAAAAAACAAGAGGAATGAACACAGACACAGACTGCCGGCCTCCAGCCTCAACCTGCCCCAGGAATAAAAAGGGCCAGAAGCTAAAATGGTCTTTCCCAGGGGGGCCAGAGTGATAGTACGGCCTGTAGAGTGTTTGCCTTGCATGAGTTTGACCTGGGTTTGATCCAGAATCCCATATGGTTCCCCAAGCCCACCAAGAGTTATTCCAGGGGCACAGCAGGGAGGGCGTTTGCCTTGCACGTGGCCAACCCGGGTTCGATTTCCAACATCCCATATGGTCCCCTGAACACCGCCAGGAGTAATTCCTGAGTGCAGAGCCAGGAGTAACCCCTGTGCATCGCCGGGTGTGACCCCAAAAAAGAAAAAAAAAAAGTTATTCCAGAGCGCAGAGCCAGGAGTAATCTCTGAGCATCAACAGGTGTGGCTCAAAAGCCAAAACCAAACCAAAACAAAACAAAAGATGGTCTTTCCCAGTCTCCCTTCAGTTTCAGTTTGGTCAGCTGACCTCTGGCCAAGAGAACATGATTGGAAATGAAGAATAACTTGTCCAGGTTCCCCCCAAAAGGGCAAGCATCTATACCCACCTGGCTGTTTTGTGCTACTGAAAACGTCAACCATTGAATCAGTGACTATATTTTGAATTCAGACTGCCACAACAAAATATACACCTGGTGTCTTAAACTAAGAGAGTTCATTTTTCTCACAGCTCTGGAGGCCAGAAGCCCGAGATCAAGATCCAACAGATATCAGCTTCTGGGGTGAGCTCTGTTCCTGGCTTCCAGATGGCTAGCCTCCTCACTATGGTCCAGAATGACCATCCTTGGTATGTGTGTGTCTGTGTGTGTGTGTGTGTGTCCCCTCTTGCTTCAAGCATTCATAGTGAGGTTAAAATTTAAACATATGGGGGGGGGGGGGAAGGGGCTGGAGCAATAGCATTGCCGGTAGGGCATTTGCTTTGCATGAGGGTAACCAACCTTCGATTCCCAGCATCCCATATGGTCCCCGAGCACTGCCAGGAGTAGCCAGGAGTAACCCCTGTGCAACACCGGGTGCAACCCAAAAAGAAAAAAAAAAAATTTAAACATACCGGAATGTGCCCTATGCGGGTCTTCCCCTCGTCCCTCCTCCCCTGCCCTGTAGAAGGTGTTGCGCCCCAGGGAAACGTGGGAGCAGGGGAGGACCATCCAGTCCCAGCGGGCCGTGGCGTCTGTCCAGCCTTTTATTTTCTGTCCAGTTTCCAGCATTCGGAGGACAAAGCACATGCCTCCTGGTGAGCGGGGGAGGGTTTCAGATGCCCCCTGCGGGGTGGTCCTGCCCTTCCTACTGGTAAAAGGGCAGCAGGGGGCCCCACCGGCTCAGGATGGGGTACTTGATCTTATGGTGAAAAGTACAGAGACAGCCCGGCATCAGAAAGTAGCCAGTGCCAATGTGGGGAGCGGGCTGGCGCGCGGGCTCCAGCAGGCAGGGCAAGTTGGCCACCTGGTACAGCGGGCTGTCGAGCCTCGCGCGCGCCACGCCCAGCCCGTAGGAGCGCGGGTACATGCAGGGGCAGGTGCCGGCCACCCTGCACGCGTCCTCCTCCAGGGGCTCCTCCTCGGGCTCCCCCGGGGCCGCCTCCTGGGCCGGCCCGGCTTGCGGCAGCAGGAAGCAGGGCCGGCCCAGGTCCCGGGCCGTCAGGCGTGTTCCCTCGAAGGCGGCGTAGCCGGCGCTCAGCTTGGGGATTGGGCTCACCACCGGCCTGTAAAGCTCTTTCTCCCGGAGCTGGCGGTCCAGTTTCTCCTTCTGCACAAAGCAAATCACAGGGAACGGAACAATAGTACAGCAGGTAGAGTGCTTGTTTGCACACGCGCCCGACCGGGGTTCGATCCCCAACACCCCATTAGTCCCCTGAATCCCGCCAGGAAGTAATGCCTGAACTGAGCCAGGTGTAAGCCCTGAGACCAGGTGCTGCCTCTCCCCACCCCCCCCCCCCACCTCCCTGCAAGAAAAAAAAGAAGGAGGAGGAGGAGGAGGAGGAGGAGGAGGAGGAGGAGGAGGAGGAGGAAGGAAGAAAGAAGGAAGAAAGAGGAAGGAGGAAGAAGAAGAAGGAGGAGGAGGAGGAGAAGGAAGGAAGAAAGAAGGAAGAAGGAGGAAGGAGGAAGAAGAAGAAGGAGGAGGAGGAGGAGGAGGAGGAAGGAAGAAGGAGAAGGAGAAGGAGAAGAAGAAGAAGAAGAAGAAGAAGAAGAAGAAAAAGAAAGAAAGAAAGAAGAAGAAGAAATTACACACTGGAGGAAAGTAGCCTTGCTTCCTGGGACATTTCAAAACCAGGGCACATTATCACTCACGTGTGTTAATATTGTTTTAGGAGAAAGGGACAGACTGAAATAGTTCGAAAACTCTTGTACCCTCCCGTCCCATCTGCAGGGATTACCTTTGTAATTTTTTTTCTTGTATCTTTCTAGAAATATTTATTTCCCATTCCTAGAATACACATAAGTACAGCTGGTTATGTCTGATCTACCATCTTGCACTCAGGTGATAGATTTTGTAATGTTTTGTCACTGAATAACTTCTCTCATGAATGGGGGCCAGATGAAAGTAGGTGGTAGTTATTCCTCTTGCATGTTGTTAGGCTTTGGGTTGGATGCCTGGCCCTCCATCCTACCCCCTCGAAGCCCTCCCCTCTCACCACCCAATTTCACCTTTGTTTATACTTTGTTTATATCTTACTCTTAGATACCTCACAATAGATGGAAAGGATTTCTTTCTCCTTTGAGGAGGGATTGGGGGGTGGGTGGGTCATCACAATCAGTGCTCAGGAGTTGAACACTCATTCATGTGATTAACCTGGACTGGAGTTCCTGGGCCTGAGGATGTGGCACTGCTTGGTCCCTGAGGTGCTGGGGATTTCCAGGGCCATCCCAGGGGTGCTTGGGGACTTCTAGGGTTTCACCCTGCAGTGCTGGGTGATTGGGGCGGGGCGCGTAGTCTGGTGGTTTGATCTCAGTAAGGGCAGTGCATGGTCCACTGAGGATGAGCTATCTCTCTGGCCCCAGGAAAGGATTTGTTTTTGCTTTTGTGTTTGGACCACACCTAATGGTGCTCAGGGGACCATGTGATGCCTGGGATGGAACTTTGGGAAGCATGTGCTTAGTCCACTGAGTTATCTCTCCCACCCAGCAAAAGGTTAAACACATTTAGATAGAGAAAATGGATCAAGGAAAAGTCTTGAATCTGGCACTAAAATAAGAATCTTATCTGTAAAAAAGGAGGTCCACAGGGCTGGAAAGATAGTATAGTGGGAGGTACTTGCCTTGCACGCAGCTGACCCGAGTTCTATCCCTGACACCATATATGGTCCCCTGAACCCTGCCAGGAGTGATCCCTGAGAGTAGAGCCAGGAATAAGCCCTGAGCATATCCAGGTATCACCCTAAAACTAACACCCACACTCAATAAATAAATAAATAAAACAAAGGAGAGAGATGTACAGGGCTGGAGAGATAACTCAAAGGACTAGAACATATGCTTTGCTTGTAGGAAAGGATTCAGTCTGCATATGCATGGTTCCCTAGCACCTCCAGGAGTGCTCACCCCCCACTCCCCATGCATAGTTGGGGAGTATCCACTCCTCCTCACACACCATTAGATGTGACCCCAGAACAAATAAGTGAGCAAGGACAAACTGCAAGCTAAAATATTTTGCCACATATGTAACAGATGGGGCTGGAATGATAGCACAGCGGGTAGGGTGTTTGCCTTGCATGCGGCCGACCTGGGTTCGATTCCTTCGTCCCTCTCAGAGAGCGCGGCAAACTACCAAGAGTATCCTGCCCACACAGCAGAGCCTGGAAAGCTCCCGGTGGCATATTCAATATGCCAAAAACAGTAACAACAAGTCTCACAATGGAGATGTTACTGGTGACTGCTAGAGCAAATCGATGAACAAGGAGAGGACAGTTCTACAGTGCTTACAGTGCTATGTAACAGATGGGCTGGAGTGATAGCACAGTGAGTAGAGTGTTTGCATTGCACGCAGCTGACCCGGATTCTATTCCTCCATCCCTCTTGGAGAGCCCGGCAAGCTACCAAGAGTATCCTGCCCACAGGACAGAGCCTGGCAAGCTCCCCGTGGCATATTCAATATGCCAAAAATAGTAACAACAAATCTCACAATGGAGACGTTACTGGTGCCCGTTAGAGCAAATCGATGAACAACGGGAGGACAATGCTACAGTGCAGACAGTGCATGTAACATTTAAAACAAAAGACATCCTACATAAGGAAAAAGACAAGCTAGTTTTTAAAAATGGGCAGAAGATGGGCCCAGGAGAGAGTACAACCAATAAGGTGCTCGCCTTGTATGTGGTCAATCAGGGTTCAATTCCCCAGCCTCTCATATGGTCGCTGAGCACTGCCAGGATTCCTGAGAGCAGAGCCAGGAGTAACTCCAGAGCATCACCAGGTATAGCCCCCCAAAAATGAGGAAAAAATGAGAAAAATATATAAACAGACATTTCATAGAATAACATCTATAAACAAACAGATGTCTAACCTCATGAATAATCAAAGAAATGAAGGTTATGACCCCAGGAAAATATTATTCCAAAACCACTAAATTTTCAAAATTTGGGGAAGTCTGATAGCCTTAGAAATGGCAATATAGGGGCTGGAGAGATAGTATAGTGGGTTATAAAGTATTTTCCTTGCACATAATCAACCAGGGCTCAATCCCTGGCATTCCATACGGTCCCTGGAGAACTACTAGGAGTGATGAGTGCGGAACCAGGAGTAATCCCTGGCCATCGCTGGGTGTGCCCCACCCCCCCCAAAAAAAAAGAAGGAAGGAAGGAAGAAAGGAAGGAAGAAAGGAAGGAAGAAAGGAAGGAAGAAAGGAAGAAAAAGAAAGTGAGCAAGATGGAACCTTCTGCACTGGTGAGGACATCAGGTGAACCAGCAGAGTGGAGCATAGAGATGGGGCCCGGACCAACCCAAGTTCAGGTTGGACTGCCTACCCTAACCTTCCCTTTATTGCAGCATTGAGAGATATGGCACCAAATAAATGATCCAAACATCTACTGATAGGAGAAGGAACAAATATATTGGGGTGGATTTGTGCAATATGATACTAAACAGCAAAAAGTGAATAGTGTCACAGAATTTCACAACAGCAAAAACAGCAGAAGAGCACAGGGTACAATCTAATATTGAATAAAGTTTAAGAAAGGCAGCCCCAAATAATTGATTTAGAGAGATATAAACCTCTAGAGTAAAACAACGTCCTCTCCAACCTCCGGGCCCCCCAAAAACCTCACAAGTGGTGGTTAAGTCTGTAGGTTAGGAGAGGGACACCCAGGGTTCTAAGGTGCCATTAATGTGCTAAATGTTTGTTTGGGGCTACACCTGGGGGTTCTCAGGGCTTACTTCTGGCAGGGCTTGGAGGATCCTGTATGGGTCTCCCTAGCCCTAATTTGCTGTGTTGGTTCCTAATGGGCACATGGGTGATTATTTTATCATTGCTATTTATACTATAAATGTATTTTACTTCTAATCTTTGGTATACATGACTTACATTCAATGTGCATTTTAAAATGTACAAACATAAAAGACCTCTTAGATCTCTTGCCCCTGGAGAGTTTAAATACTTGTTTCTAATATCCACATTCATAATAACAATGGGTTAAGGATGATTTCAGTGATCTATTGAACAGAAGATAAGACTGGACAGCTTTTACCTCGCCTGGCTCCATCCTAATGTATCCGTAGTTCCCATAGGGTTGAAAGTCGGTCATGTAGGAGCTTTGGTATATTGTTAAATCCAAAAGAGCCTAAAGGACAAGGGATAACACAAGAGAGTCCATCTTGCTCTTCTTCTTTCATCCTGTCCAGTTACTTCTCATTCATAGAACAAATGTCAACTTTGAGGCCTGGCATTTGAAGTCCATCTGGCCTCGACTCTGCTCTTCCATCTCATCCATGTTCCACCTGTACCCTCTGTCCTCCTGCCCCAGTCTCTCCCCTTTCCAAAGGTGCGTGGACTTACTTTTTCCCCTGCTGCAAAATGCTTGTTGCAATCCTGCAATATCCAACACATCCTCCAAAATCCAGGTTATTTGTCATTTTCCCCTAAAGACCTCTCCCACTTTATTTCCACCCCAATTTTATCCTGACACTGTGATCTATAATAACGGGGTTTCAGGCATATGATGTTCCAGCGCAATCTCACCACCAGCGTCAACAGGTAAATTTCTCAAGGTGCTCTCCCGCACCTGCTCACGCCCGCTTGGCTCTTTTTGTTTGTTTGTTTTTACTTAATTATTTGGGTTTTTTTTTTCTTTTTGGGTCACACCCGGCGATGCACAGGAGTTACTCCTGGTTCATGCACTCAGGAATTACCCCTGGCGGTGCTCAGGGGACCATATGGGATGCTGGGAATTGAACCCGGGGTTGGCTGCGTGCAAGGCAAACGCCCTACCCGCTGTGCTATTGCTCCAGCCCCTGTTTTTACTTAATTATTATAGCTTAGGTCACATGTTAACAATGGTGTTAGTGCTTACGACTCTTATATACAGAGATATACAGAGTTATCTCACCTCCCCATCACCAAAGTGCCCAAGTCCTTATGGTCTCTCCCACTCTTTGATTTTCTACATCCTAAGAATACATTTTTTATTCCTCTGCTTTTGTGGCGCAGTTTACACTCCTTACAGCACTTATCACAGTGTATGCAGTTACGTTAATGATTCCTACATCTGGACCTACCCTTAGACATCTCTGCAGGCTCACAGTCCACTGCACTGGAACGTGTTTAATAAATGCATGCTGAAGAAATCAATAAACCCACAGAAAACTGCAAATCCTATCTCTCATCTATTATGCCCCCATGCCCCCACTCCTGAAAAATAAAACCCCATCATTTCAGAATGATGAACAGGGAAAGTCCCAGAAGGCCTTCCCATCTCTGGTGGCTAATTACTAAAGCTACTCAATTCTGAAATGACCACAGCAGACAGAAAGCCAAAGCGTTCACTTGCTTGGGGCATGCCACATCTGCCACAGTTAGCTAAGCAGATAAACTGCTTAGCTCTGCCTCTATCCCAGATAAGAAAAACAGTTACTGTCCCCAAAGTTGCACCAACCAGACACAGCTGCCCTTACCTCACAGTGCAGACCTAACATGGGTGCTAGTAAGGCTCCATGGTCTGGTGGACATTGGCCTATGGACAAGGGGACTGGAACAGGACTTAGAAGGAAGAAAAGCTATTGAGATCAGATTAAGGTTTCAAGCTGATGAGAGTAGTAGGAGGTGAGTGGTGGACTATTAAATACTGACCTTTCAAAAGTACTGATCAACCCTTTTAAGGGCCTATAATCTCTTTACCTGGTACATTTGCCAGTCCCCCTGGTGTAAATGTTCCCATCATAGCCCATTTTGAGTTAACAAAAAGTGACCAACACTGAATTTCAAAAAGATGCTCAGCTGCATCCAATGGACCAGGGGCCAGACTGTAAAAATGAAGCAAGGTACAGGCCTTGGACTGGAAACTTCTGGGGCTCCTTGGTTCAGAAGCACAAACCATGTTTTTCTAGTGGAATTTTGGGGTAGCTAGGATAAAAAAAATAAAAGAATTGTCATTACCCAGGTTTTAAATCAGTCTTGCCTCTTGTTACCAGCCTGTCCCCAAGTCCTGACATTCTAGAAGGGGGCCCTTACTGGTGGACCCTAAACTTACTCTTTCTTATGTGCATGAATCACTAGAGCTTATACCCTTTGGTATGCATGACTTACATTTTGCACTGGTTTGTACTGATTCTGTTTCATTTCCAGGACCCCTGCCTTGAGTCCCACTCTTTTCAGGTGTCAGGGCCAGCTGAGTGGATTCGAGAGTTTAGTCAGCTCCGCTGCCTCCTCTTTCTGTGTACAGAGGGCTCTTCTGGTGGGCTTATGGGAGCAGCTTCCGTGCCTAACACGTGTCCTTCTTCTGCCAAGTGATAGTGACACCCCACACTTCCAGTGCCAGCTGCTCTTCTGCCCTGTCTCTGAGCTGCGCTACCCCACTACGTGGTGGGGTGCTCGCAGTCACAGTCATTGTGACTGGTTCATTGTGATTGGAGCCCTGTCCCTGGCTCAGCCTTTCTCCCAATGAGCCATTGGCACGTAGGTGCATCTGAGCCAGCTTGAGCCCTGGACATCACCATCATGGAAGGTATCTGGAAGGCAGGGAGGTTGCGACAGCCTACAGAATTCCCAGGAGAGTGAGAGGAAAACAGAAAGCCCAGTGGAGACTGACATCAAATGATGTCTCACTGAATCCATTCCATCTCATAGTCTGTCCTTCTGTGACTTGAGAGACTGGCTTAGCCTTCCTCCATCTGTCACAATTCCACTCTCTTTCATACACACTAGAATGGCTATCATCCAAAAATGAGAAATGAGTGTCAGTGAGAATGTGGAGACATTGAAACACTTGCGCATCGCTGGTGGGAATGTTATCATGGGTGCTATCGTGAATGAAAACAGTTTGGGAGTTCCAAAATAGTTAAACACAGAGGGCTGGAGATATAGTGCATGCAGAAGGTAAGGTGCTTGCCTTGCGATTTAACTTCAGTTAACCTTGTTTCAATCTCTTATCCACCCCTCCCCACCTCTATAGTTTCCAGAGCACCTTCAGAGATCAGTCCTGAGCACAGAGCCAGGAATAGCCCCTGAGCTTGACCATCTGTGTCCCAAACCCCTCCTCCACCAACAGTAAAGCTACCAAGTGACCCTAAAATTCCACTCTGAGTTACATTCAAAAGACTGACATCATGGACTCAGATCTGAATTAGGAACTCAAATATTTGTTCACAGCAGCTAAGAAATGGAAGCATCTCAAATATTCACCAACAGATGAATAGATAAACCAAAAATGATGTACACATACAATGAAATATTAATCAATCTTAAAAGGAAACTAATTGTGATACATGTTACAACATGGATGAATCTTGAACATTAAGCTAAGTGAAATAACCAAGACTATAATGGATAAATATTATATGATCCCACTTACATGGGGTTCCTAGAGTCATCAAATCCATAGAGATAGAAAGAACGATGGGGTCAAGCGGCTGGGAGGAATGGGGGGTGGTGCTTAATGGACAAAGATTGTTTATGGACAAAGAGTTTCAATTTGGGAAGATGAAAACGTTCTAGAAAAGGATAGTGGAGGTGATGGAACAATGCTATAAATGTTCTTAATGCCATTAAGTGCCTTAAAAGTATATTTTATGCTTTATACTTGCCACCATAAAGATTCCTTTCTCTGAAGGGCCATCTTCTCTATGAAGCTCTATGGTCTCACAAGAAGACTGTGGACTCCTTGCGCAGAGTTCTGAGCCTAAGCAGATTTATTTTATTTGTTTTGTTTTTGTTTTGGGGCCATACCCAGCAGTGCTCAGGGTTTACTCCTGGGTCTGTGCTTAGGTATTACTACTAGCAGGCTTTGGAGGATCATATGGGTGTCAGGGATCAAACTTGGGTCAGTTGCGTGCAAAGCAACGCCCTTTACCTGTGATACTATGTCTTCAGCCACCAGAGTCTAAGCAGAGTTAATAGTGAACAAAATAGATGGGAATTCCTCCTTGTGCAGAGAAAGGCTCACATTCTGGTAAGAGAAAAATTCAGAGGAAACCAAGGTTCTGCGCTTAATCACTATTCAGTCCAGCAAACAGTCAAAGATGATGCATCAGAGAATGATGGCACTTCAGTTGAGGGAGAGGGTCACTGAGAAGGTCTCTCTGAGAAGGGAACATCAGAGCAGGAATCTGACATGTGAGTAAGAACTAATCACATGAAGGTCTGGAGAATGTGGATCCCAACAAAGGGACAGCAAGTGCAAAGCCTGTGGCTAGAAACAACTGGAACAAGAAGTGAGAGGAAAGGAGTGGCCGAGAGAAGTATGCAGTGAATCTCTGACTTTTTCTTTCTGTAATGGCATCTCTTGTTCCTGTACGAGAACTGTTCTTATCCTTTCAGGGATCCTCTGGTCTGGGGGGCGCTGACTCTAATCCAGATCGAATTGAGCGTGGTATCCCTGGAATATGACTTCCTCTGGGCTATAGTGATTGGTTTAAGGAGAGGTTCATGAGACAAGCTGACTGGTGAGCAGCACCGCAACTGTGGGAAATAGGGTGTTGCTGACACAGTGGTCACAAAGAACATGTGAGCTGAAACTTCAGGCCACATGGAGAAACCTGGTCTAGAGTAAAATCAGAGAAAAGGTGACCAGAGGATCCTGAGAGAGACTGCATCCTGAGGACTCTGAGCCCCAGAGACAACCAAGCTTGAAGCTTGAACTTCACCTAAACACTACAGTTTGGGGGTCAGAGCCATAGTACAAAGAGTAGGGCATTTGCCTTGCATGGAGCTGGTCTGGGTTTGATCCCCGTCATCCCATATGGTCCCCTGAGCACTGCCAGAAATGATTCTCGAGTGCAGAGCCAGGAGTAACCCCTGAACATTGCCTTTTATGACATGCCTCCCCCCCACCCCCCCCCAAAAAAAAAGGGAGAGCCTGATTTGGACTCTCCTAAAATTTTCTTCTTTAAATTAAACATTGCAGTTTAGGGGCTGGAGCAATAGCACAGCAGGTAGGGCATTTGCCTTGCACGTGGCCGACACAGGTTCAATTCCCAGCATCCTATATGGTCCCCCGAGCACCGCCAGGAGTAATTCCTGAGTGCAGAGCCAGGAGTAACCCCTGAGCAACACTGGATGTGACCCAAAAAGCAAAAAAAAAAAAATCACAGTTTATGTGAGTCAATAAATACCTTTTCTTGGTGCAGTCAAGTTTCACGCAGTTTATCACTGTATCACTGTCGTTCATTCCGTTGATTGTCAAATTACTCGAGCGGGCACCAGTAACGTCTATATTCCTCTCAGCCCTGAGATTTTAGCAGTCTCTTCTTACTCGTCTTTTCCCAACAATTGGAGATTCTTTCAGGATCAGGGGAATGAGACCTATTGTCGTTACTGTATCAAATACGCCATGGGGAGCTTGCCAGGCTCTGCCCATGCAGGCAAGATACACTCGGTGGCTTGCAGGGCTCTCT